TGTTAATGAGGTGGTGAACTGATATGACATTCTGAAAGTTAATGAACGTTATTGATATTTCTTGGCGTTAATGATGCTGTTTCTTCCCCCTCCTAGCTGTGTACACCACACCCAGAAAGGACGTAGTGTTTCTTCTGGACGGTTCAGATGGCACTAGGAATTCTTTCCCTGCTATGCGTGACTTTGTGCAAAGAGTAGTGGAGCAATTCAACATAGAGGCCAACAGAGACCATGTTTCTGTGGTGCAGTACAGTAGAGACGCAGAGGTCCATTTCTATCTGAACAGCTACACGACAAAGGAAGACGTTCTTGACCGTGTCAGAGGCCTGAGACACAAAGGAGGCAGACCCCTCAACACGGGGGCAGCTCTCCAGTACGTCAGAGACAATGTCTTTACTGCCTCCTCTGGCAGCAGGCGGCTGGAGGGGGTGCCGCAGATACTGATCCTGCTTAGTGGGGGAAGGTCATTTGACAGTATCGATGCAGCAGCCTCCTCTCTGAAAGAGCTTGGCGTCTTGATCTTGGGAATAGGATCGAGGGGCTCGGATAGTGGAGAATTGCAGAGAATTTCATACACGCCCAGTTATGCTCTGTCCGTGTCCGACTTCAGTGAGCTCCCAAATATCCAAGAGCAGCTGCTGGCCTCTGTCCAGGATGTTGCAATTCCTGTCACTCCAACTTCCCCGACTCTGACCGGTATGTGCATGGCAGAACTTAACGAGAGCTAGCTGACAGGCTGTGCATTGTTGATTACTCGCAGCTTAGGTAGTCAAAGAGGTAGTGAACTAGCGTGATGTTCTAAAGATGTTTTGAAATGTCCTGGTGTTAATGACGCTGTTTTCTTTTCCTAGCTGATGACGCCATACCCAGAAAGGACGTAGTGTTCCTGCTGGACACTTCAGATGCCACTAGAAATACTTTCCCAGCGATGCGTGACTTTGTGCAAAGATTAGTGGAGCAATTCAACATAGATGCAAACAGAGACCGCGTTTCCGTGGTGCAGTACAGTAGAGACGCAGAGGTCAATTTCTATCTGAATACCTACACAACAAAGGGGGATATCTTGAACTCTGTCAGAGGTCTGAGGCATAGAGGAGGGAGACCCCTCAACACTGGGGCAGCTCTCCAGTATGTGAGGGACAATGTTTTAACCGCCTCTGCGGGGAGTAGAAAGCAAGCGCGTGTCCCTCAGATTCTCATCCTCCTCAGTGGAGGACGGTCAGGCGATAACATAGATACACCTGCCTCCGCCTTGAAACAGGGCGGGATGTTGATTTTTGGCGTCGGCACCAGAAATTCCAGCAGAGAGGTGCAGAGAATTGCCAATGATCCGACCTATGCACAGTCCATCAATGAATTCTCTGACCTTCCCAGTGTCCAACAGCAGTTTATCACCTCCCTCAACAACGTGCTTGGTCAAGTCAAGCCGATGACAACTACTGTGCCGGGTAAGACAGATTCCTGCACGCCTCTACAAAACAGCACACTGAGCCCTTCTTTGCAAAGCGTGCAGTAGACTCTGAACAGTTTAAGTTAGCATTGCATGTGAGCAGAGCCGTGGGAAATTAGGCTAAAAAGCCAAGGGCTTCAACCCTAGGCACTGTTACATTTTAAAGTGTTTGTTCATTCACTCGTTGGTTTGCTTTAGGCAAAGTTTTTGTCTTTTGACCAATATAACCTTTAAATTTAGACCTTATTTCACGGCTCCATATTCATTAAATTTGGGCAGTTTTACTCTGACCAAAATGAGGTGTTATCATAGCAGACGTGACTAACGTTTGGCCAATGGATAGGTTGTAAAATAACTTAAAGGGCGGGAGAGTCGTTTCCCGTTTGCAGTTGCCAGCTAGAGCACGCATACACCTACAGACAATATCAGATGCCGAGTGTTCACGTGACTGTGTGTTCCATTTCATTACCTGTAGCTGAGCGAAAGAGGGATGTAGTGTTCCTGCTGGATGGTTCAGATGGCACTAGGAGCTCTTTCACTGCGATGCGTGACTTTGTTGAAAGGATGGTGGAGAGACTGAATGTGTCTGAGAACAGAGACCGTGTGTCCGTGGTCCAGTACAGCAGAGATACAGAGGCCCATTTCTATCTTAACACATACTCAAGAAAGGAGGACTTTCTTGACACGGTCAGGAGTCTGAGGCACAAAGGAGGAAGACCCCTCAACACAGGGGCAGCTCTGCAGTACGTGAGGGACAATGTATTCACTGCCTCCTCTGGAAGCAGACGTGTAGAAGGTGTGCCCCAGTTACTGATTCTGCTGAGTGGTGGAAGGTCATTTGATAATGTTGACACACCGGCCTCATCCCTAAAGGAGCTGGGAGTGCTTATCTTTGGGATAGGGTCAAGGAGCTCAGACAGCAGGGAACTCCAGAGGATCTCCCATGAGCCTAGTTATGCACTCTCAGTGAGTGACTTTGCTGACCTTCCCAGTGTCCAACAGCAGCTTTTCACTAACATTAATACAGTACTTGTAGAGCGCACGCCCATCACTACTACAGTAATAGGTAAGAAATTTACAAACCAGTTTTGCTGTAGTTCCTTTTAGGTATTATGACATCTGCTAAGGTAAGTATCTCCAGTCATGTTTAAACTTTTTGTGCATATATTATGCTTTACCATACTAAAACCATGAATGCTATCTAAAAGTTTGTGGCTTGTTAAGGAGAGATGTACTGTTCTCTTTTGGTTCAACAAAATGAGCAAAAATTTCTACTAATGGAGGGTCCAACATCGTATCTGTTGACCATAATATCATAGAGACTATGGTATGGTTCTTTTACTTCAGTCATAAAGAAGCATTATACAGCCTCCTTGCAGCACCTTAACCACCCTGCTAATGTATGACCTTAGTGAACATATGAAAATCCTTCCTTTAGAACACCAAACGTCCTGATACCAGTGAGCATTGTATAACAAATTGTATATGTATTTCTTTATTCATACCTTTTCTGCCTTTAATATGCACAGAGGTTTGTAGTTTGTCTAATTATTTCCATACAATTACTGAATGGAAAAATTAATTTTTTAGTGCTTTTTGAGAGATCAGATTTTATATTAAATGTGTATAGACCAGTGTTGCTCAGTCTACGTTGATTTAATTGATTGATTGATTTGTCATTTTTTATTTCTAGAATTTCTAATAGTTTTCTCTAATGTATTTAAGATTCATTAAGGCAAATCAGGAGTGTGGGAAGTGAATTTGTTTGGGGTTTTTCCCATTAAAAAATGTATATGTTTACATGTATATATCTGACCCTGAACCACAAAACCAGTCATAAGGGTAAATTTTCTGAAATTGAGATTTATGCATTATCTGAAAGCTGAATTAATAAGCTTTCCACTGATGTATGGTTTGTTATGGGCAATATTTAGCTGAGATACAACTACTTGAAAATCTTGAATTTTCAAGTAGTTGTGTCTCAAGGGTGCAAAAATGAAGTCCTTAGCAATGCATATTACTAATCAAAAATTAAGTTTTGATATATTTACAGTAGAAAATTTACAAACTATCTTCATGGAACATGATCTTTATTTAATATCCTAATGATTTATGGCATAAAAGAAAAATCGATAATCTGTGTTATCAATGTATTGTTTGCTATTGCTAGAAATATACCTATGCTACTTATGACTGGTTTTGTGGTCCAGGGTCACATATATAAAATAGATGTTACTATGGTTGCTTTCCAAGGTTACAATGTATCATGGTTGCAGTGTTTCAAATTCAGTTGAAAAGGACACCTTGCACATCTGGCAATTCCAGGTGGAAACAAAATACAGAATGATGATACAAAACATGCTGATACAATGTCTTACCATTAGGTAGTGGAATCAAGTGAAAATTAGTTATGTTCACCGATCAGGAATAAAGGGTTGTACAGTTTATGTAATTATATTCATGTTGTTGTTGTTGGGTGTGTATACAGACTGGCCCTCATCTAGTCAGCAATATTTGATATTAAATCAGATTTTTTTTTACATTTTCGTTTTAGTTGAGTCCCAAGGACCTAAGAAGGACATCATCTTTGTGATTGATGGCTCTGAAGGTGTTGGCAGAGAATTCCCAATTATCCAGGAGTTTGTGCGCAGCGTTGTGGAGAACCTCAATGTTGGCGAGAACAAGATCCGAGTAGGCGTGGTGCAGTATGGAGATTCCCCGTATGCAGACATATACCTCAACTCACACAGGACCAAAGAAGGTGTCCTAAATGGCATTAAGGAACTCCGACAACGAGGGGGGAGACAGCGTAACCTTGGTCAAGCCATTGACTTTGTTAGTCGTGAAGTCCTGGCTTCTGGACGTGGTGGAAGGAAACAGGAGGGAGTTCCACAGTTTGTTGTTGTGATTTCAGGAGGAAAAGCAACAGACAATATAAGACCATCTGCAACTGCACTGAAACAGTCAGGAGTTGTCCCTTTTAGCATAGGAACAAGAGACGTGGAGACTCAGGAATTGCAGGTGACATCCTATGTCCCCAGATTTACCTACACAGTTGAAGACTTGCCTGGACTATATGCAATTCAGGACACACTCATCACCACCCTGACAGAGCTATCTAGTGAGGAGTTAGCCAAATTGCGCCCTGTATACCCTCCAGGTAATGCAATCATTTCATAATTGGGTTTCTTGTTGATGTGGTAATGCTGCTGAAAAGGCCAGCATAGACCAGAATTAATTTACATTCCCAACTTATTTTTTGATATCTGGTCCAGCTGGTGGTTAAACTTAGTTCTCTTTTAAATTTTAAGTTTGTGAAATTGGTTATCCAGTATGGTCTATCACTTATTTCTGGTTGACCAAGGAAGTCTTGCTGTTGTTAACCTAGTTAAGATGCTTGCTAGAAACACTAGCATTCTATGCTGGGAACGTCTAAAATGCTAAATGAATATCACCAGCTATGTTGGTCTTTTCAACAGTGACAGCATAAAACATACGTCTGTGAAGGTTTGAAAGTGTTCATGACACAATTTATTATATTCCTTAAATGTTTATAGTCACTCGTTGCACCACAGTCATAATTTAGTAATACATGACCATTTTCCACCATGTCTCTAACCATATGAATAAAATGCTCAGTTTTGCTGCTGCCTTTTATTTAAGACATCAACTTTCACTGTTATGATCGGCTAACATTTTTGCATAAGACAAATGTGTCCTTACTCTTGTTGCTCTCAGAAATTGCATAAAGCCTGCTAATCAGATTAGAAATTACTAGATCAAAAAAGTGCTTTCCACTGCTGAGTGCAATATGCAGTCTAGGTAGCTGCACGAATCTCAGGCTGCCTGGCGGACATCTCGGCATGGATGAAAGAACATCACCTACAGCTCAACCTGGGAAAGACTGAGCTTCTTGTCTTCCCTGCCACTCCAACTCTACAGCATGATTTCACCATCCAGCTAGGTTCTTCTACAATTACCCCATCAACTTCGGTCAGAAATCTTGGTGTAATCTTTGATGACCAGCTGACCTCCAAAGACCACATTGCAAAGACTGCTCGATCTTGCAGGTTTGCATTGCACAACATCAGAAAGATCAGGCCCTTTCTAACGGAGCATGCTGCACAACTTCTTGTCCAGGCCCTTGTCATTTCTAGGCTGGACTACTGCAATGCTCTTCTGGCTGGACTTCCATCAAGCACAATCAAACCTCTACAAATGATTCAGAATGCAGTGGCACGACTGGTCTTCAACGAGCCCAAAAGAGCCCATGTTACACCTCTCTTTATCTCCCTGCACTGGCTGCCGGTTGCGGCTCGCATCAAGTTCAAGACATTGATGCTTGCATATAGAACAGCCACAGGCTCAGCACCTGCCTACTTCCACTCACTATTATGAATCTTTATCCCCCCCAGAAGTCTGAGATCCGCTAGTGAGTGATGCCTCATGGTACCATCACAGAGAGGCTCAAAATCACTCAAAATCCAGAACATTCTCTTTCACCATTCCTGGCTGGTGGAATGATCTTCCCACCCCTATCCGGAATGCTGAATCCCTGACAATTTTCATCTCTTTCGACACTACTTGACTTCATCCTAAATTTAAAAAAAAAACTTTGCCTTTCTCTTTATTTATTCCTACTTACTTGAACAAATGCCTGAAACTTGGTATTATGAGCACTTCCTGTGTCTGCCTCTTTAAGAAAAATCACTTTATGTATTGCCCAAGTGTAAGTCGCTTTGGATAAAAGCATCTGCAAAATGACTAAATGTAAAAGTAAACGTAAATGTAAATGCAATGGACTGTAGCTAAAAAGACAACATTAAGTATGGTCAGCTTCTCCATCAGCTTTTGTTTTTAAGGCATTCTTGACTCAGCAGCAAAACACCGCACTCATGGTGGGACACACTGAACAGCCAGACCTGCTGCAATGGTCAAAGGCACACAACAATTAAAATAGCACAAACAGTTAAAGTTCTTAACACTGTGTCCTTAACACAGTACTCATGACAAGATGCACTAAAATAATTGGACAAAGATACCAATCTAACTCATATTTACATTTAAATTTACAACATAGGATATTAATAGAACAAGTGCTTACATCATCTCATCAAGTGTAAAGCAACTTAGAGCAGCAAAACATCATCAGTTGTTCAGTAAAGTCCTTTTTTAAATGAATTGAATAGTGTATACCTGACATTTCATAGAACTATGAATTTAGAATTTTGTATAAAATTTGCACCACTGTTTGTGAATCCTGAGGTCAGACTGTCAGGTACATTTGTGTATTAATTAAGATCTATTTATTATTGTTATATATTTATATTTTATGTAAAATTTTCATCTCTTTATTTCAAAACATAGAGACTGTAATTCCAGTGCCAGTACCTCGTGGAGATAAAAGGGATGTTGTTTTCCTTATTGATGGCACAACAAAGATGCGGAGTGAGTTCCCTGCCATAAGAGACATGGTTCAGCGAGTGGTGGAGAAGTTAGATGTGGGTCTCGACAATGTGAGAGTCTCAGTTGTGCAGTACAGTGATGATCCCAAACTGGAGTTTCTTCTCAATGAGCACTCCACCAAGGAGGAAGTTCGCCAGGCAATACGAAGAATGAGAAGCAAAGGTGGCAATCAGCTTAACACTGGCCAAGCCCTGGAATACGTTTCAAAGAGCATCTATCAAAGATCAGCCGGAAGCCGTGTAGAAGAGGGTGTGCCCCAGTTTCTCATCTTGGTAACTGGAGGAAAGTCAAATGATGATGTGTCTGGCCCTGCTAACCAACTGAAGTCAAGCCGCATTGCTCCCATAGCAGTTGGAGCACATAATGCTGATGAAGAGGAGCTAAAATTAATTTCCTTTAGTCCAGAACTAACATACACCATTAGAGACTTCCAGCAACTTCCAAGAGTGGAGCAACAGCTTTTAACCAAAGTCAGTACCATGACCAGAGATGAAATTTCGGCCCCCCCTACGCCTAGAGGTATACCACTTTTTCTGCTTGTGTTAAAACCATTTTTTCAGGTTAATCCACATTAGCAGAGCATTTGATGCCAAATTTAGTCATGTCATGTTTACTTTTACACACGCGCATAGCTTTAATAGATTATGCAGAAATTTATTAGTAAATGTATTCATTTTTGTTTCTTATCAGTCCCACTCAGTCTTGGAAGAAAGGACATCATCTTCCTCATTGATGGCTCTGATAGTGTTGGACAAAGCGGTGTTGCTCACATTCGTGACTTTATCTTGAAAGTGGTTGATCAGCTTGATGTACAACCTGACCAAGTCCGCGTGGCTCTTGTGCAGTATGGTGAAAGGCCTAAAACGGAATTCTCTTTGAATTCTCATGACAACAAGCAATCTGTCATCTCTGCAATTAAGAGATTGCGTCATATGGGTGGACGCGGTGTTGATCTAGCTGAGGCGATAAAGTTTGTCATTCGAAACGAGCTCCAGGCATCTGCTGGGGTACGTCTAAACCAGGCTTCTCAGCATTTAGTTGTGCTAACTGGTGGAAGATCAACCTCCGATGTATCTACTTATGGCCCACTTCTCAAAGGCTCTCGCATCAATTGTATAGGAATTGGTGCAGAAAATGCAGACCCAAGACAGCTGGCACAGATTACTACCTCTGCCGATGACGTCTTGCAGGTTTCTGCTTTCCCAGATCTTCCGAACATACAGAGCGAGTTTATAGCCAGACTTAATGGAACAATTATAGAGGAGACTTCCACTCCCACTGACGAGTCAGGTAGGTAGAGCTTTAATGTCATTGTAATGTTAGACATTCTTTACATGATGTGTATATAATAATAGGCAATAAATGTTAGTTTGTTCATTTATTTAGCTTGTTTTATTTTCTCTGATTTCCCCTAGATTCTGGGCTCCCACAAGCCAAGGCTGCTGACATTGTGTTTTTGGTTGATGGCTCAATCAATCTTGGCAGGGACAATTTTAAAGAGGTCATGGAATTCATTCTTAATTTAATTGACCTTTTCTTCACTGAGAGAGACAATCTTCAGATTGGTCTAGCACATTATGCTACAGATGTGACCGATGTATTCTACCTCAATACTTACAAAAATAAGGATGACATTATTAATGCCATAACTCGAGCCGAGTACAAGGGAGGTCGGGAAATTAAAACAGGCAATGCCATTCGCCATGTTCAGAAAACACATTTTGTCAAAGAAAGAGGCAGTCGGAAGGATGCGGGAATTCCACAGATCCTGATGGTAGTCACTGGTGGACGGTCAAGGGATGACAGCAAATCAGCGGCACTAGCTCTCAAAGACAGTGGTGTGCGCATCTATGCTGTTGGGGTGGGTGATATTGAGGATGAGCTCAACAATTTGGGCAGTGAAGCTACTACAGTGGCCCGAGCCAGCACCTTCCAAGAACTCTCTGAACTGAATGAGCAGATTTTGGAAACACTGGATGATGAGGTGAAAGGAATAGGACTGTGCACTGGAGTAAAGGTTACCACAAGAGGTTTGGTTTTTAAGGTTTTTTATAAAGTGAAAGTACATTTTAAGTGTTCTAAACAGAGGTTTACTCTCAATTTGTATTAATTCTTAATTCTGTTTCTGGCAGAATGCAAGTTGGATGTACTTGTGGGGTTTGATGTGGCTGCACAGAACATCTTTGCTGCTCAGAAAACATTAGAGACGAAGGTGGCTACTATTCTCCAACGCATTACCCAGATGCAGCCCATCAGCTGCACTTCTGGCCAGATTCCCTTAATACAAGTGGGCATGCTAGCAATGGACTCTGCCTCTGAACCAGTTCAACTGGACTTCACCAACAGATACACAGAGCTTATTGAGCCCTTCAAGGCCCTCCGAAACCGTGGACCTTTTGTTCTAAATGGTGCCACAATCAAAGCTTATACTGATAGATTCAAGAGTCAGCCTTCAGATAGTGTCAAGGTACATCCTTTTCATTCAGGGCAAATTTTAACCTCAAAATCTAACCATATTGTATGTACGGAATATCTCTGTATATTTATAAACAATTATTTGTACTAAAAATAAAAATAATTGCTGTTTTACACCCATAAAGGTTGTGATCCACTTAACTGATGGATTAGATGCCCAGTATAACATCCTGAAAGAGCGAGTTGAACTGATGCGTTCAGCTGGTAAGAGTAATTGTGATTATAGATATGAAAATGTCTGATGAATTTCATTACTTCACACTCAAATATCAATAGGTTGTATATTCAGTTTCTTTATTTCTCTACTCACCAATACTTATGTTTGTTGTTGATGATGATTTAGACATCTCACAACATGTTACCACAAACATTTTAATATTTGTTTTTTCTTAAGGTGTCAGTAGTTTCATTCTTGTTGCCCTGGAGAGAGTGCCACGATTTGAGGATGCAGTTCTCTTGGAATTTGGCCGTGGATTTAGGTACACACGACCTCTGCGTGTCAACCTCATGGACTTGGATTATGAACTTTTGGAAGAACTGGTGAGAACTGTTCTAATTGCTCAGTCAAATAAGCTCACTAAGGGATGGCCTACTACAATGAAAAAGACATATTAAGTTGAATATGTTTGTCTAATATTATTTTGGTTGTCTCTTTTTAAGGATAACATTGCTGAGCGGGAATGCTGTTCTGTTCCATGCAAGTGTAATGGCCAGAGAGGGGACAGAGGAGCTGTTGGTGTTCCTGGACCAAAGGTCAAATTCATTCTTCGAAAAACAACATATTTTATACTACAACACAGATAAAAAAATATATTAAATGTATCAGTGTTTGCTCATGTCAATGTTTTATTGCCTATAGGGTCAATCTGGTGGTCAAGGGTTGAGAGGACATCCTGGTGATGAAGGTGGTCCGGTAAGCATGTATTAATTATCTACTATGAATATATATAAAGATTTAAAAGGCATACTTTTTCACTCACATTTGTCTGGGATTCATCATCTACCTTCTCAATAGTTTGCAATTGCCCACTTTCTCACAACGCATAAAGTTACATTGATTTTCCAGCATGCACTAATAAATGGACAGATCCTATACATACCTTTGCACATACATATACATACCTTTATCAGTGTTGCGGTAACGTGCTACGGAATGCATGTTACATAATCAGATGTGTTAGTTTATGAATTTAAACCACAACACTGGAGTTTCTTTTCTATTTATTTTAATGTTTTTGCTCAAATACAATACAATTCTCTCCCTACCCCATGTCAATCATCAGCATAAGAATTCATCATGAACAACCTGAAACTTTGCTGTTGTCATTAAATCAGTCTGTATCTTTTAGTTAGATGGCAACATTTTGACAGAATGCAACATTTGTGTATGTGGCATGTTGTTTCTCATGATTGCGATAATCCATATTTTCTCAGGGAGAGAGAGGTCCACCTGGTGTAAATGGAACTCAAGGATTCCAAGGATGTCCAGGTCAAAGAGGTGTTAAAGTAAGTTGAACTAAATTTCACTTAAGGCAGCACATTATGGTTAAAATATATTACGTGACTAATCCAATGTATTTGTTTTACTTTTATTTAGGGATCTCGAGGATACAATGGTGAAAAGGTAAGAACTCCTTACATATAACACTTTTGTAATGATGTCATAGTAAATAATAATATATTACCATGATTAACATTCACATAAGAATATGTTTAATTGATAGCATTTGTTTTGTTTTAGGGTGAAATTGGAGAGATTGGTTTAGATGGAATCAATGGAGAGGAGGTCGGCTATTTTTGATTTTGTTATTAGTAATCATTTGTACAATAGTTTGTACAAATCTTTGTGTATGCCAATTAAAATCTGTTGTTGTCTTTCAGGGAACAAGTGGCATTGCTGGCCCTCCAGGAGATAGAGGAAACCCTGGCCAAAGGGTAAGACATGTAGAAATCTAGTTGTGGGTAGGGTCATGAGGAATATATTCAAAATAAATAAATATGGTTTATCTGATCTTTTTGGTGTGTTTCTAGGGACCTAAAGGGGCAAAAGGCCAGGCAGGAGATGTTGGTCAGACTGGAATCCGTGGTGATCCCGTATGTATTTTATACATAGTCATATATGTCTGCTCTCTTATTTACTCAAGGATTTGACTTAATTTAGAATGAGTACATCTTCCTTCAATAAGTAAGGTTGATGCTGTTGTTGTTGTTGTTTTAGGGCATCCCAGGAACAGACAACAACCAGAGGGGACCAAAAGGTGATTCAGGCGATGCTGGCCCACCGGTATGGTCCATTATTTTATTTTTTTCAACATAGTTAATACTGTATGTCATTCTGGTAGATTCTTCCATTTATTTGATTGTGTCTGGTCAGGACTGTAGCACGTTCACACACCAATATTGTAAAGTACCAAGCTTCATAAAAAGCTTCGTTTATAGTTCTGCACTATAATCTAAAAAAAAATCATAGAAGTTGTTTTATTAATTATTTCTCAGTTGATTAAACTATTATTTCTCATTACAAGTAATTTTAGTCTCTGGTCATGGTCAAACTTTAAGACTTGGCCAAGCTTTACATATAGTAGTAATTGCTGCACATTTTGTTAGTGTTTCCTATTAAATGTGTGAATAAAATCCACAACTGTAATGCATTTTTGAAGTTCACTGAAGTGTTTTCTTTAGGGAGAGCCAGGAGTGGACGGAAATAAAGGAGGACCTGGTGAACCAGGCAGACGGGTATGCTTCCTCGACCAAAGAGAATGTCTTTTCTAACTTACCCAGGAGTACTGAATAGGCTAAGATCCTTTCAATCAGTTCATAAATAATCTCTTAAAAACCCAAAACAGCTCAATCAAATGTTTAGAATCTAAGAGTCAAAAGAAAACTGTTATGAGATTTGAAGAAATTTCTAAATTAGCTTTGACAGCTATTCAAATTAGTGCTTATATCAATTTTATGCCATGTTGTCTATGGCAATACATTATTTGAAATGTTATATGTAAGATCCATGAAATGTTGAGTGACAGATGTTCTGTTCATAATCTTATTCACCTTCTCCTCTTTTGAAAAAGGGCCCTGATGGTAGAAGGGGGCCTCCTGGTCAAGCGGTGAGTACACATATAAACTATTTCATGACAAGGGACTTGAACATTATTTTAACACTCTCACAGAGATTCATCAAGAGCTGTTGTTTATGAGTTAAATAGCTTTTTTGGTGAATTTTTTAAATTATTTATCAAAGGTCCTGTTGCATTTTAGGGTGCTCCTGGAAGGGCAGGAAGTGATGGTTTACCAGGAGAGATGGGAATTGGAGGATCTCGGGTAAATTAATCGGCTGTAAAAAAAAAAAAAAAGTTGTGCAAAACAAAAGACAGATGTTGTATATGCATACATAATGGTTTAATCTGGTTTACAGTCTGGTTACATTTATTTATTATGTATGTTCAAATATGCACACCTGCCTTGAAATAAAATGTTCAATGTTATTATCAAAGAGAAAATATATATTATATGTTATATGAATATTGTGTAAATGTATTTGATTCAGGGTGCCGCTGGACCAATTGGAGCACCTGGTATAAGAGGAGAGGATGGAAACCCTGGTCCAAGGGTAAAAGATGTTTAATAAGCATATTCTTTTTCTTGTTTTATATGCTTCTAAAAGGATGATTGTATCAATAATAATGACCATTTGTGAGCAGACAAAATGTTTAATACCGCACACACACAAAAAATACCATTTTGGGTTTATTACTTATTAAAAGAAAAAATATATATACAGTATATCCTGGTTTCTATGAGAAAAGCTTATTATCATCTTATTTTATATATTTTTAGGGGCCAGGAGGACAGCCAGGAACTGCTGGAGAAAAGGGTAGAAGAGGTGCCCTTGGCCGGAAGGTACTGGTTATCTTTAACAACATTTAGCAATTAATTGCAAGGCAGTTGCACTCTCATGTTCCAGTTACCATTGGCCAACTTAAGAAATGTTTTAAAGAAAACATCTCAGTGTCAACTGAAAGCAAAGCTTCTGGGGAGTTTGTATTTGTACAGTTTGGGAAGAGGAAATTAACTTACAATTTTGTTTCAATGCATTAGTGTGAGAATTAGGGTGCTCTTTCAGCTGCTAAATGTATGACCATTGCACCTTTTATACATTATTATTAAAAAAATTATGATTCACTTTTTCTCATTCACTCTAAAGGGTGAACCAGGGGAGCCAGGACCTAAGGGTGTCGTTGGACCCCTGGGACCCCGTGGGGAGCCTGTAAGTGAGAAGTCACAGTCTGCACCAGTCATATCAAATACATTTCATACATTGTAATAAAAATGTTAATAACCATCAGCATTATTATATAAAACATTCACAAATAGATTGAATAATTATAAACATTACTTCCATATTAAAACATATAGCACATTGCTCATTTATCAGATCAATCTACTGTATATCAGAAGTTTAACCTAGATCAAACTAAGGAGTTTCCTATGTATACAGGGTGAAGATGGACAAGATGGTTTTGGTATAACTGGTCCCAAAGGACGAAAGGTGAGTGTGTGTGTGTGTGTGTGTGTGTGTGGAAAGGGTTTAAACAATGTTTTTTGTGCTTTTTCAATTAATCATATAGAATTGTTGCACATGCCCCTGTGGAACATCCCAGAGTTTACATGCAGTAGGCAATTAAAGTCACAGTCACAAAAACTTAAAACATTATAGAGACCTGCCCAGGGTCCCTGCTCACGTGATTGAACATGCAGTAGACCTGCTGAAGGGAGGCGTGAGGACTGCAGATAAACTGAGCAATGGAAAGAGTAATACTCAGCATTGTCCTTAATGTAAGATGCCTAAGACAGTGCTACTGGGAGGCTCATTATTCCATTTCTGATCATCAAATATCTGTGAAACTTGTTCAGTTTATGTCTCAGTTGTTGTAGTTTTTTATGTTCATACAAATGACATTACATATTTTTAAGAAATTTGCTATATACGTGCAAACTATATATATATATATATATATATATATATATATATTCTCAAAAACGTGTATTTTACACTGAACACTCTTTAATGTTATTTTAGGGTGATGAAGGTTTCCCTGGTTTCCCTGGTCCAAAGGTGAGAGATTATTGAAGTTGTCTGCTCCTTTGAATGTTTTACAGTATATACAGTAGTACTTATACTAATGCACTCCCTTTAAATTCTGCTGTGCAAAACAATGAATGTAACTAAATGTTAAATCTGAATTGATTCAAAGGGTGAAGCAGGTGACCCTGGATCAAAGGGAGGACCTGGACCTAGAGGAAACAATGGCCAGAGAGTGAGTAATGTTGATGGAACTATTTTTAAGTGGGTCATTATGTCCATACTGCCGGTAATCACTAATAATATGTTTGTGTAGGGTACCTCAGGGGAACCTGGTGGACCTGGACAAAAGGGAGATATTGGATACCCAGGGCCCTATGTAAGCACCATACTTTAATATAATACTGCTTTAAAAGAAGCTTTAAAAAGAAAAAAGAAAAATACAAAAATTGTCAGGAATGTTGACTTTGAATTAACAAGGTGACTAAGTTGAGGAATGACTAGGGATGTTCAAAGTGTACAATTCTCTCTGCAAGTCATAAGCTTTGATTTACTCAAGCTGTTAATTTTTTTTATTTTTTTAAGCTAGTGACAGACATTAGTTTGGCGCACACAAATGCTCAGTGGAATAAATCCAGATTGTTCTACCCAGCTGTGTTCAGCTGTTGAGAAAGTGTTTTTTTTTCTGTTGTCAAAAACAGGGTCTAAAAGGATCCAGAGGAACTGGTCCAGTGGTATGTACTTTTTCCTTTCTTTCACTGTATAAGTGACTTTATTGTTTAGTACTGCTTACATGCTTGGGACATTAATGACAAATATTCTTGTCCTCACAGCAATGTGATCTGGTCAAGAAAATTAGGGATAACTGTCGTAAGTATAGTGATTGTACAGTGTCTAATTATGCTGTCTTTCTTATAGTTTGAGTTATACCTTTATATACCTTCTAATAGTTATACTTTTACATTTTGAAATCTTTCTCTATTTGTTTCTCTTTTTTAGCCTGCTGCTATGGTAAGTGAATAGTGAACAATCTCTTCTGCATTTGCACTGTACTGTTAGGGTCACATTTTAAAGCATTCATTGCATAAAACTGTACTTCAGATTTTGAGTTTCTAATTCTTCAGGTGCTCAGGAATGTCCCCTATACCCTACTGAGTTGGCCTTTGCCCTGGATGCATCAGATGGTGTATCACGCTCTGCTTTCAACAACATGCGTGACACTGTTCTCCGCCTGGTCAGTGACATCACTATTGCTGAGAGCAACTGTCCCCGAGGTGCCCGTGTTGCTCTAGCACTTTACAACAATGAGGTGACTACTGAGATCCGCTTTGCAGATACCCAGAAGAAGCGATCACTTGTTGAGCGAGTTCAAGGCCTCCAGACTCAGCAGACCCGTAAGCAGCGCAGCTTGGAGACAGCCATGAACTTCGTTGCACAGAACACATTCAAGAGAGTTCGCAGTGGGTTCCTTGTGCGCAAGGTTGCTGTTTTCTTTGTCAATGGCCCTGTTACAGTCGTTCAAGAATTCAGTGCCGCTGCTTTGCGCCTCTACGATGCAGGAATTTCCTCTGTATTCCTTCTTAACCGTGAAGATCGCCAACTCACAAGAGCCTTGCAGGTAGGGGCAGTAGAAGGGCAAGTGTTGTAATTTGTGTCTGTAAGAATAAGGACTTTTTTCCATTTGCATTAGTGTTGGTAAAGGTTTTTATTCATGTAGTATGCTTCCTCACTCATCTGTGGTTTCATCAGCTGTCCTTTGTCCTTACACATCAGAATCCTGTTTAGAATGTCGACTCATGACAGTAGTTGATCCTCAGAAAACAACTTGTAACAGTAGTTGTTTCATTGCCCCAGTATATAGGCTTGAACACTTTGCACTGAACTGCATGTATAGTATTGTGCCTTAATGCTTAGTTGAGCTTAAACTAAAAATGTCAGGTCATATGCACAGCAACTGTGATTTTGTATAATGCGTTAAGTAACTTCACGCCATCATTGAGGTAACTTCCAAATCGATTTGCAGCTTACATAAATTTGCAGTGTTTGAAGTTAAATGGGGGGAAATGTCAATCACTTGGACAAATTATCTGTAACTCTACACAAACTCTATCTGACAGGATTAATGTTGTAGTGAATCAGAAGTAAATTAAGTAAAAACCTGACACAGCCAATTGCATTTGGCATAAAAGAAAGCATACCATTAAGCATTTTACATTTACTCTGTTTCAGCTTAACAACACTGCTTTAGCCCAAACTATCGTCCTACCCTCACCTGGAAGTGCTGAATACAACAATGCCATCAAGAAGATCATGACCTGCCATATCTGCCTGGGTAAAACTGTTTTCATGCACAACAGAGTTCAACAAACAAGAAAAGCCACCAAACTTTTTAAAATTGCAAAACAGTAGCAACAGAGAATGTTTGAATGACATTTTTCTTCTTTAACTTTTTTTTTCAGATTTCTGTGCCCCGGATGAGATGTGTAATTATGTCCCACAAAGTGGATTCCGGGACCGGAGGGATCCCACCACTGACTTGGACATCGACATGGTTTTTGTTCTTGATAGTTCAGAGAGCACCTGGCCCTCCGTCTTCACAGAGATAAAGCAATATGTGGCTCTAATGATAGAACAGCTAGAGATGTCCCCTGAGCCAGCCAACACTACCCATCATGCTCGAGTAGCACTTGTTCAGCATGCACCTTATGAATACTTGCACAATGGCAGTGGCATGCCCATCAGCGTGACCTTTGGTTTGACAGATCACAAGTCACCAAACAGTGTTCGAAGCTTTCTACTGGATAAGGTGCACCAGCTTGAAGGAGGACGGGCCCTTGCAGATGCTCTTGAAGGCACTGTTGAACATGTGTTTGAGAAGGTGCCACATCCCCGCCATTTGAAGATATTAGTTATTTTGGTGACTGGACCAGTTGAACTGCATCAGGAGAGGATAATAAGGGCTGCCACTGAAGTTAAATGCAAAGGATACTTCATAGTGGTGATGGCAGTTGGAAAGCTGTTCAGTACAGGCGATGTCCGTGTCTTGGCCCAAGTGGCAAGCGAGCCTTCAGATGTATTCTTTAAGAGGGTGGATAGACCTTCAGGCTTCTATGATGACCATATTCAGACATTTGCCAGACTGTTGCCCAAGTACCTTGGCCGTAAGTCAGATAATTTTTTTAACATGCTCAAAATATCCGTTGATGTATTAGCCTGTCATTTTGTACCAGGTACCAAAAACTGTTGTTGACCATTTCATAATTTTTTCTGTATAGTTGAAAATGCTTTCTACTTGTCACCTGAAGTCTCTAAGAAGTGTCAGTGGTATCAAAGTGACCAGCCACACAAATTTCCATTCAGTTTGCCAAAAACAGAGGAGTGAGTATATTTATGAGCAATGTGGTCTGTAACCCGCATATGTGCACTTTTGATGTTGCTTCTGCAAAGACCGAAAACAATTCACAGACATTATGAGTTGCTAAATAATTTAATTCACATTAATACTGAGTTAATACATTGTATGAATTTTGCTATGGTGTCTTTTCCAGGAAACACCAGAAGCATCATGGACAGCAGGAGGTTCATGACAGAAAACATAAAGGTACTGACAGTATGCACCGTAGGTTGTGGGTATTTGTTTATAGAGAAATGTTTGGGGTTGAATTCTGGTCACGTTGTGTGTATGTTGGTGTCCAGAAACAGGTATGGAGAAAATGCATCTGGTTAACGTCACCTCCAGCGGATTCTCCCTGCAGTGGTTGAGTGGCGATTCAAAGGCCACCCATGAGGTTACTGTGACTCGTCTGAAGGATCATAGTCTGGTGCTGAGGAAAAATGTGACCGGCAGCCATCTCTCCATTTCTGAGTTGGAGGCAGCCGAAACCTATCACGTAGTGGTCAATACTCACAGTTTCAATGGTCATGTTGCCAGCACCTACAAAGGCATTGTTCCCACAAGTAAGCTCATGTGTTTTCACATAATGAAGCATTATGATGTTTATGTATTTCAGTGGAACACACAACTAGTTATTTAGCAGAATGTGCATAGTGTTCTTTTAGATACATTGATTCATTTAGACTTAATTTAAATTGCTATATGGAACTTTGCTGCAGATTAAGTGTGGTACATTTTTGATAGATGATACAAGAGTTTCCTCATCTGCATTCAGCAGAAAACACAGTGCACTTAACTCCACAAAAGGAGAAGAACTAGGCTTAAACCTTATTTGGTTAGTGAAGGAGATTTGTGACCTGTTCTGGAAGACAAGATTTTCAGTGAATAGCAATTTACGACCTGTTTCTTACAAAGGTTTTGGGTGGCTTAGACTTGTAGACTGCAAATCATATGGACTACTTATTTTTTCTTCTTTTTGAAGCTGGCCGGCCCTAGTTCTTATTTTCTAGTGCAAAAAAGCAGAATGGATGTCCTGCTAAAAAGCACATTTCATGTTCCCTGATCATTAAAATGTGATAATTTCAACATCAATTAAGTGAATCGATGACATAATTGTATTTATTTATTTATAAATTTTCACAAACTGTTCTTTTAATGTTGGCCAGTGCAGGATGGTGTTAACTTTATATTCATTCTTCATATTCAACAGAATCAGCACATCTGAAGGTCCTTACTGTAAGTGACGTGATGGGGATTGTGCCCACTGCACCCTTGAGTAAACCAGAAACAAGTAAGTGACACAGAATTAGCGTCACAGATTATATCTCTATATATATTTTTTGCACATTTGATATACTGTAGTATATACAGAGCTATGTGTTTTTTTATGACTCTAGCTTCCGTATTGTTACATAAAGGTAGTACAGAATAAGAATGCTTTAAATCTTGCCAGAAAACCATGAGCGCTCTATCTAGATCTAGTCATCCTCAAATGTGTCTTTTTAAACAGAATCAGCAGAACAAAAAATACTTAATGCCAGTGAAATGATGGGGATGATGTCTACTGCACCCTTGAGTAAACCAGAAATTAGTAAGTGACAGAATATACTGTATCACCAGGAGACTTTTTAATAAAGCTTTATATATA